AGTCACTTTTGAAAATGCCAGGCTAAATAAAGATACCAATAATATGGTTCGTAAATGTCCGGTAACAGCTTCTAGGATTGTGGTGCAGTGGCTCTAATACGCATGGTTGCACACATCAGTTGGAGTCCCTATACGGTGCAGTTGCGGAGAGCAACACAGACGAAGCACTAGAAAGTTTCTCTTCAGTTAAGGCAGGTACAGCTAGAGACCTGCGTGGAATATTGAGAAGTGCCCAGGATTGACCTAAATCTGTTGTGCTGCAAACAGCTAGTAGGAGCAGTGGGGCTGATCACAACAGTCTTGAAGGGGGCACACACCTTCAGATAGAATATTTTATATCCAGGATGGACAATTTGTCTCTGGCATAATTTTTCTTCTTGGCATATTTGATGGAGATGGCTGCTTAGTAACTGGAAGGAGAGAACAATGAACTATGCAAGGAGACCCTCCCACACACACACACAGTCTGGGGAAGCTGGGATGAGGGTAGTGCCTTCCGTCACCTATGCCATTTGGCCTTGGGGGGAGAAACAAGCCAGAGACTCCAGCTGGTAGGATCAGAAGCAACCAAAGCAGGGAACTTCGGACATTCAGAGAACTGTCAACATTTTGAGCGGTCTTTCTCTGCCCTGTGCTGATTGACTATTTATTCCAACCCTCCCCCTCTGCCACCCTCACAGTCTCTTCACCTCTGCTTCACTTAATATCTGCTCTTCTTACCCGCTTCTCCCCTGTCCTGCCCACCCCCTTTCCCTTCAGTGTTCCTTCTCCCTTCACTTTTCTTTCCATTTAACTTATCCCCTCTTAGATAGATAGATATTTGGTGAGGGGTTTAGCTATCAGGGAACTGACATGCATTTGGTGCCATGACAGAGTTCACGCTCTGTGTTTTATCTCTTTCTCCATCCTGTGTCTGTCTTGTCTATTTAGGCTTTGTCTGCACAGGAACTTAGTCAGCAAAACTTTTGTCGTTCAGGGGTGTTAAAAAAAAAACGCACATGCACACCCCGAATGACAAAAGTTTTACCAATGAAAAGCGCTCTCCTGCCAACAAAGCTGGTGCTGCTCATGCGGGGTAGAAGATTTTTGTCGGCAGGAGAGCTTAGACAAAACCTTAGGGCTGGTCCACACTTACCCCCCAAATCGAAGTAAGGTACGCAAATTCAGCTACGTGAATAACGTAGCTGAATTCGACATACCTTACTTCGACCTTACCGCGGTTCAGACGCGGTCCACACGCGGCAGGCAGGCTCCCCGTCGACTTCGCGGTACTCCTCTCGCTGAGCTGGAGTACCGCAGTCGACGGGGATCACTTCCTGGTTCGATTTATCGCGTCCAGACCAGACGCGATAAATCGAACTCGGAACTTCGATCCGCAGCCGTCGAACTACCGGGTAAGTGTAGACTAGCCCTTAGAGTGTAAGGCCTTTGAAACAGGGACTGTCTGCTAATCTGTTTGTACATTGCCCCATTCCTGGTTGGTCCTTAGGCACTACGGTAGTAAACATGATTAATGATAATGAAAATAACTTACACACAGAGGGTATGAAAGTGGGGGCCTTTCTCATGCTGTTCTTGCAACACAAGGCTCCATGCTGAGTGCAGGAGATCGGTTCCATTGAGCTTGTAGCTGGTGATGTCAGAATACGGCGTAAAGAGGAAGAGAAATTAAAGTTAAGAGAACAAAGAAGACCCACAGAGTTTTGTTTTAAGAATATTTGCTGCTAAAGTTTGTATGATAGTGAAATGTGTTATGAATTCTATTGTAAAATGTGTCATTCTGAAGTGTTGCGTAGAGTTTTAGATATGTGACTCCCTTAAATCACAGAAGCATGTGCTGCTAAACCCCACGCAGCACCACAGCACTTTGACATTGTGTTACTTTATTTCAAATAATTCTAGGAAGAAAATTAATTATGAATTGAATAATAGATTATTTGAAACTACTGTGTAGCATTCTTAAGTGCACCAGAATGTTGCATTTTTCATGTTACACTTTAAAGAATTCCCAGGTAACATGCCCCATTGGGTTCACTACTGGTGTTTGGGTTCCCATGCCGCAGTTAGACTCATCTTTGATGACAATGAAGTTTAAAATCCTATGCCTAGTTTCAGTTCCCTTTATGCATCTGTTCCAAGCAGCTGTGACAAATGTGGATATGGGTGGGATGGGGAGGGGAATTCTCAGAATCCAGATCTCAGAGTGTTCATGCCACCCTCATGGTACCATCAAAAGACATCGAGAAATGAATCATGATGATAGGATACCAGGGTATAATGCTATCCATTTTATACATTAGTTCCATTCCAAAGGCAGCATTTCAGGGCCTGTTAGTCTCTAATCTGTATGAGCCTGGGAAGATGTGTTTTTTGGTTTTAAGTATAATTGGTTTTCCACATTTTATCTGCAGCATATATTCGCTTTAGCATGGCTGTCATATAAATCATAGGCTATCAGTAATTGTCCTTTTAGATTGGTTCATGAGGTTTTATATTTACATTAAACTCCATAATGCAAGTCTAGAAATTATTGAGTGAAAATGTTTTAAGTCAATTTCCTTTAAAGTCTATGTAAAGTCTATGTCTATGTAAACTGATTTTATATCTATTTCAGGTTTATCAACAAGTGTAAATCAACATAGCAGCATTGATTTAACAAGAACTATGTCATTTTTATACTAGCTAAGATCTGGTTCTTCGTATCAAGAGTTGTGCATCTTTCAATTTAGGACCAACTTGCTCAGGCAAAACTCCAAATGAAGACAGATAAGAGTTTTGCCTGAACAAGAACTATGGGATTTGGCCCATACAGAATATGCATTCCTGAGAATATTCACTCTCTCTTTTAATTTATTGTAGATACTAAATAATAATATTTTCAATCATAGGGTTTGAATCCAATGCCTTTGAGATTGAGTTGCAGCTCACTGTTGGCCCGTAAGAGGAGAGATTAATAAGACTGGGACTTTTCAGCTTGGAGAATATAAATAAGGAAGTGTTATTTACCCCTTCTCATAACACAAGAACTAGGGGTCACCAAATGAAATTAACAGGCAGTAGATTTAAAACAAACAAAAGGAAGTATTTCTTCAGACAACACACAGTCAACCTGTGGAACTCTTTTCCGGAGGATGTTGTGGAGGCCAAGACTAACAGGGTTCAAAAACGAACTTGATACATTCATGGTGGATAGGTCCATCAATGGGTATTAGCCAGGATGGGCAGGGATGGTGTCCCTAATCTCTGTTTGCCAGAAACTGGGAATGGGCCATAGGGGATGGATCACTTGATGATTACCTGTTCTGTTCATTCCCTCTGAACCACTTGGCTTTGGCCGCAGTCAGAAGACAGGATACTGGGCTAGATAGACCTTTGGTCTGACCCACTATGGCTGTTCTTATGTCCTACTAATTCTAATGGAACTACTCATGGAGTAAGATTCTATTTAATATGCATAAGAGTATTAGAACCTGGCCCATAGTATCCTTAATTTTGTGCCATGTTCTAAAATTGAAAAAAAACCCACAATGCTGTGTATTTTGATATATGTCTTCCTTCTGACCAGATTGTTTGTTTGTTTGCACATACTGTGAACATGTTAGAACTGTTATTAAGTGATGCTCATGTAAATAGGACTAGTTCATCAGTCTATAATATAAACTTTTTGGAATAATCATTTGCCTTATTTTTATCCTAAAACCTCCCCTACTCTAGTGACCCAATCCTGCAAATGTTTAAGCACATGAATAGTTTTACTCCCACAAATAGTTACATGGAAGTCAATGGGACTACTCGATTGACTAAAGTTACTCATAGGCATAAATGTTTCCAGGATTGGGCCCTTCCAGTGTAATCCTCAAAACAGCTTAATTTATTTGCTGATTTTGAGCTAGACAAGTCCCCATGGTACTGGAAAGTTTCCTAGGGAAACTCCAGAAGTTGACACTGATATCATTCCCGTGAGGTGAGCGGTTTCTGGACACATCCATGCGGGTGGAGGAGTATTGGGGAAGGTGGGGGTGAAGTTGTAACCCTCCAGCAATGCAGGGGAATTCAGCAGTTTTCTTGTGGTACCTGCTATCACAGGTGCTGACTTTTTTCTCTTTGCTGGTGGGTACTCCTCTCCACCCCCTCCCCTCGACGCTAGCGGCAGGCAAGGCTTTGGAGGGAAGATGCCAAGTGGGGCTAGGGCATGGGCGGGGCCTCAGGGGAGGAGGCAGAGCATGGGCAGAGCCTCGTGGAGAAGAGGTTGAGCGGGGGCGGGGCCTTGGGGCAGAGCGCGGGTGGACTGGGGAGCAGGGGCATGGTCCAGGCACCAGGGCCCACAAAAGATTAATCCGGACCTGCAGGTGCCGAGCACCCCCTATATTTTTTTCGATGGATACTTGAGCCCCGAAGCACCCACAGAGTCAGGCACCTATGCCTGCCATGGTCATATGTTTGGATAGTCAGTGCCACCTTTGACTTGGCATCATGGCTCTTTAATAAGATGTGCTGCTATTGGGTCCTGGACTGCTCCGTCCAGGACCTGCAGGTGCCGAGCTGCACCACTCCTGGGTAGAGGACACAGAATTTGTAGACATGAATTACGACAAGGACACTAATTCCCATGCGGATTTTCTGAGATCACTCCATGGGGCTGCCTGGAGATGATGCCACCTAGAGCTCCACCACCAACTGTCCATGTCCCCTAGCCAAAATACCCCCACAAGCTGAACAGTATTCATAAAGGGACAGCTGCGTGCTAACATGGAAGGGTGATGCTGCACCGGCTCCTCTTCCCTAGTCTCTGACTGTCTGGGATCCACTGTTCTGGGATTGCCACAGCTTTTGTTCTCCTGTTGTCAAGCCGCAGAGGGGATGATATGGCCCTTTGCCTTCACTAACCAACGACGCTGTCCTTAATGGGAAAAACAACACTGAAATAAACATATTTTTCAAGGTGATTCATAAAGAAACCCGTGACAGCTGTTGCTTTTCTCTCCTGTTTTAAACATTAGAATGAAGAAGGAATCTCGCAGGAAGGAATGATGGATAATACAGATATGCCAGTGGACCCAGATAATGAGGCGTATGAAATGCCTCCTGAGGTAAATCTTCCTTTGCTGTGCTCTCTGAATGTATGTGGCTAATGGACATCTGAGCATTTAGCACAGGGGCTTTATGCCGAAGTGATCTAGGTGCAGAAATGTAATGATGATGACACTTACATGGATGCACAGAGGGGTGCTTCCCCTCTATGGGTGTCCAGTGGCTGAGAGGTTGCAAAGAGGAGGCAGATCCATGATTCCAACCCTCTTCACCCCAGGCTGTGGAGCTGGCCAGCCATGCAGGGGTATATGAAGCTGCAGTATAGTAGCAGACATGCAGCCTCTGTGACTAGGATCTCAAGGAGTCAGAATGCATCCCTAAGACAGCACACCCGCCTGGGGCTCCACACCACCCATTGATTTGAGCCAAAATGGCACAATCAAACCCAACAGAGGAGATCTGCATCAGATTCACACTTGGCTGTAGGACTCTGTGCATAAGTGCTCTGTTATGTAATTAATAAGTAGTAAGTGAATCCGTACTATTTCTGTGTGATAGAGCCCGTCATTAGGATGAGTGCCAACCCATTGTTTTGTGTAGCTAGCTGCCTTCAGCAGGAAACTGTAATTCCTGGAAAATAATAATTCTTTAGAGCCAAATGTTGTCCTTGGAAGCATGCTAACAGCTCCTAATATAATTAACAGGAATTGCTTATTCATTGGAAAGCAAAGGGTGGCTTTTAGTACTGTAGCGGCGTGGTACCTGAAAGAAAGAGGGAAGGCCACCCAGTCTAACCAAACCCTTTTAATGCAGCCAGAACTCCTCCTTTCCCCCACAATAGTACCTCCCTAACCCAGTGCATATGCAGCACCACCTCTTGCATTTCTGATTTCCCTCACCCAGCTTCTCTCAAAACACGGTATTACATTATTAAATATTTTCCGTGCAGTAATGATATTTGAGAGAACAATTATACTTACACATGCATGTGCGCGCACACACAGACACATTCCAGAATACTCCACAATAAATTCCCTTTTTCTTGTATTTGGTAAGAGATGGGAGGAAATTATACCTTTGTCAATGTATGAGTTCAAGGAAAAAAAAAAAAGTATGTTCACAGTATCTTCTTTCAACAGTTTCCTAATTTTGTGGATAACATTTTATAACACACAGCAAATCACTATTACTTCCTTTGGCTCATGCAATCAAGAAAGTAAAATCTTTTGTCTCGTAGTTTCCTTCCACTAATGCTGAATTACTTTGGTCCTACTATATATAGTATCACTACAATGCATGGGGTACCACCATGAGTAATCAGACTGGCTGTTTCACAGAATTGCCATGCATGGGCTTGATCATGAAAGGCTGGGAGCATCTAGGGCCTAATCCAGCAAAGTACTTAGACATATAATTAACTTTAAGCACCTGAGTAATTGGAATCAATGGGGCTACTCATGTGCTTATAATTAAGCATATGCTTAGGTGATTTACTGAGTCAGTGAGAGTACCTGCAACTCCCACTGGATTGCACAGTGCAACAGGAATTTCAGGTACCCAGGCCCTCGAAAGGTCATGCCCAATTACTATAATTAGATATATCTTGGTAAAAGAATAATAATTTAAGTCCACAAATGTAGTAATTGCCACTAAGACCCTGATCCAATTCCCACTGAAGTCAGTGGAAAGTCTCCCATTTAGCTCAGTACGAATTGGATCAGGTCCCAATGAATACGAAAGATCTGGCTGAAAATAGTTAATTCACTATTGAGTGTGAAAATACTTGAAGCGTACAGCCTGCTTATCTGCCATGACATTTCAGTCATGTAGATTTTCATAGTAAACTCTTCTAAAGCAGCAGTAGGAGAACACTTCAATCTCTCTGGTCACTCAATAACAGACCTAAAAGTGGCAATTCAACAAAAAGCTTCAAAAATAGACTCCAACGTGAAGCCGCAGAACTGGAATTAATTTGCAAACTGGATACCATCAGATTAGGCCTGAATAAAGACTGGGAGTGGTTGGGTCATTACAAAACCTAAACTTAATTTCCCCAATGCTAATTTCTCCCTATTGTTACTCACACCTTCTTGTCAACTGTCTGTAATGGGCCACTGTCTTACCACTTCAAAAGTTATTTTTCTTCCCTTGGTATCCTGCTGTTAATTGATTTATCCTGTTAGACTGACCTTACATGAAAGGATGGGGGTTGCTTTACCAAGTGTATTTATACCTGCTCCTGTATTTTTCACTTCATGCATCCGATGAAATGGCTGTAGCCCACGAAAGCTTATGCCCAAATAAATTTGCTAGTCTCTAAGGTGCCACAAGGACTCCTCATTATTTCTTCTAAAGCAGTTTTCTGTCCTAGGTACTGATCCTTCCAATACAAACTCATGTACTTAATTTTTAAGCATACAAATTATCCCATTGATTTCAGTGAGACTATTAATGAATTTAAAGTAAAGCGCATGCCTAAATGCTTTCCTAGATTAAGGATTAAGATTCATAGATTCTAGGACTGGAAGGGACCTCGAGAGGTCATCGAGTCCAGTCCCCTGCCCGCATGGCAGGACCAAATACTGTCTAGACCATCCCTGACAGACATTTATCTAACCTACTCTTAAATATCTCCACAACCTCCCTAGGCAATTTATTCCAGTGTTTAACCACCCTGACAGTTAGGAACTTTTTCCTAATGTCCAACCTAGACCTCCCTTGCTGCAGTTTAAGCCCATTGCTTCTTGTTCTATCCTCAGAGGCTAAGGTGAACAAGTTTTCTCCCTCCTCCTTATGACACCCTTTTAGATACCTGAAAACTGCTATCATATCCCCTCTCAGTCTTCTCTTTTCCAAACTAAACAAACCCAATTCTTTCAGCCTTCCTTCATAGGTCATGTTCTCAAGACCTTTAATCATTCTTGTTGCTCTTCTCTGGACCCTTTCCAATTTCTCCACATCTTTCTTGAAATGCGGTGCCCAGAACTGGACACAATACTCCAGCTGAGGCCTAACCAGAGCAGAGTAGAGCGGAAGAATGACTCACTGCTCATTTCAGTGGCAACATATCATCAGTGAAGCTTTTTCTTCAATACATTACAGCAATACATAAAGGTGCCTTAAGCGCATGTTATATACAGAAATGTGATTTTCTCTTTGCTCATTAGTTCTCTTGGGAATTCTCTAGATATCAAAAACTGTAAGTAATTTTAGCCATTGATATGGAAGGTGAATGGCATGTTAACCTCAGGGGAAGTCTAATCTGTAAACACCTTTTTCTTGTAAATTAAGTACCGGGTGTTTGGAAAACAAGCTAAAGTAATGCCAACCAAATAAAGATAAATAGCCAGATTGTGTTCTAAATAAAATCAGTCGCCTTTTTTCCATTGACTCCAGTGGGAATAGAATTGGGCCTAAAATGAGACTTTTTCTAAGTGTTAACCAATTTTGATTTTTGCTCTCCTCAATAGGAAGAGTATCAAGATTATGAACCTGAAGCATGAAAATCTCTTCCCTCTTTCTATCTTCTGAAATCTACTAACAAAGACGTCCTGTACAAGTGCTGAGTTCCAATGTGCCCAGTTGTAAACTTTTTTTTTTTATTTTTACAGTTTTTACAGTGTATTTTGAAGTCTTCCATCAGCAATGATTGGAGTGTCTGGGTCTGCACCCAGCTTTCATTCCAGTGATTCCCTCCCACTGAAATGAACAACTGGGTGGCAGGGCCATTGTCGTGCTGTGGATATTGTGGCTTCAAGTTTTAAAAGTAAAAAAAAAAAAAAAAAAAAAAATTAAAACCACCTAAGTGTCTATTGCTTATTTCTAAAGCTGTACATGTTTTATTGCTAGATTGTCAGTAACTTGGTATTGTTTCTGATACAAGGATTTTTTTTTGTTTCTTATTATTACTCTGTCTCGGGGTTAACTTATTGTGAGAATTGTTTATATATACATATATAAAGTAATTGAGCATGAACTATGCACCTATAAATATTAACTTAACATTTTTATTGTTTTGTGATGTGTTTTATTAATGTATGTCTGTAAATAATGGTGTTAAACTGAAGCAAATAAAATGTAATTCACTAAAAAATGAACTTTCATATTAGTGGTGATTTACAGCACATTCTTTCCTTTCTAAGAGTATATGTTAAATAATTCAGGATAAGTATCTCATTGTGAAGGAGTTGCAGCAAAAAAAATTATACTAGGAGCACTATAAAAGATGGGAGGATGGATTATACACCAGCTGAAGATATGGCCCTCTATGTTTGTGGGTGTGGTGTATTAAATAAAAGTTTACAAAATAGATGTTTTGATAGTGACAATAAATTTGCAGTCACAAAGAATCAAGAAACAAAAGTGGCCATCAACAATTTAATGCAGCTGTTTATCAGGAAATTGTAAGAACCTATGAAGAATCATTGTCTAGAGGTGGTTAAAATACCAAGATATGGAGAAACCAGTTGAGTGATGGATTGGTTGCACCATATTTGTGTCAGGTAAAATTTGACTATAATTTGTTTTCCCAAAAATAGACCCAATTGTATGGTTACTGTTTTACAGCACTGAATGTTAGTTCTTTATTAAAGCTAAGTATCTCTATATTCACTGTGCTGACTGGGTACACTTCTCTGTAGTGGGATATATAAATATAGGCCTGGTCCACATTAACCCCCCACTTCGGACTAAGGTACGCAAATTCAGCTACGTTAATAACGTAGCTGAATTCAAAGTACCTTAGTCCGAACTTACCGCGGGTCCAGACGCGGCAGGCAGGCTCCCCCGTCGATGCCGCGTACTCCTCTCGCCGAGCTGGAGTATGGGCGTCGACGGCGAGCACTTCCGGGATCGATCCGAGATCGATTTATCGTGTCTAGACAAGACATGATAAATCGATCCCAGAAGATCGATTGCCTGCCGCCGAACCAGGAAGTAAGTGTAGACGTACCCATAAAGAGACATTTTACTTCTCTTTCCCTTCTTATTCAGGATACTCTTTTCTCTTGGATTCAAGTTTTACCTCTAACCTGCATGACAGTACTTTTTAATCTAAATTTTTATGTTGCATATTGTCACAAGTAAGATTTTTACCTTTCCTCATACCCTCTCTTTCCAATAAAACCTTGCTGGTATATAATGCTTTGCATGTGTAGATCTTAATTCAGGTAGATATTATTATCCCCATTTTGCAGATGAGGAGACAGAATCACAGAGAGGTGATGTGACTTGCCCAAGGTCACAGAGTAGGTCAGTAGCAGAGTTAAAAATAGAACCCAAGTCTCCTGAGTCCTGACTCAATGTCTTATCTGTCAGGCAACACTGATCATTTTTCTGGTATTGGCATTCCCAGAATTGAAGGTAAATTCCTGGCATAGTCTCACTAGAATTGTGTACTTGATGTGATGTCTCTGCAGTCAAAAAAATAAATCACATTGGCATTTTGCTTTCATTTTGCATTGCAACCTCACATTTAATTTCCTGTCTGCTATCACTCCTAAATCTCTTTTAGCAGTGTTGCATTTCTAAATAGATGATTGAAATGAGAGAGAATTCGAATAGAGGACTTTTTTTGAAATGGCATTTAAAATTTTTCTCAATCATTTCAGCTCATGATTTTTCATCCACAATAATGTTCTTTCCTGAAACCTCAGAATTTAAAAATCAGAAAAAGTAATAATATAGCTCCTGGTCTACAGCTCACTAATGTCAATTTGAGGGATGGGGTTTACTCCATTGTCTTCACTGGGCTTTGGCTCAGGACCTAAATCATATCAAAGTGTTTAATAAAATCTCTTATTTATCCACTGGATCAGGGATTCCCAGACATCTTCATAGTATGAACCGCATCACAATAGAGTATGTTAGACTAGACACCTACGTTCCCATTGAAAGTCCTTTTTCCTTCCCATTAGCCATTGCATAACATCACTAGGGCAACTATAGCAATTGCATCAGTGGAAAATTGATATCAGAAGAATGTTTAATGTAAGTTTTATAATTATGATGTGGTTTGGCAGACAGAAGCAAATGAGAAGATCCAGCACCATGGAGCCAAGCCGACAACAAACGCTCCATGGACCAGCAATGGGTAACAATTTGAGAACTGTTGCACTAGGGCTGAGATTGGCAAAGCTACCTAGGGGTATCAGATGCCTAATTCCATAGGAAGCTTTGAAAATCTCATACGTTTCTGAGTGTCTTCTCTTCCCTGCACCTCAGATGGGGGTAGGCTTAATTTTTCTGAGTCAGGAAATCAAAGTGAATTATTTAGGGAAGATATGCCCAGCTGCTGGGAGTGAGCCCAACTCCTCAAACAAGCCATGGGACAGGCTCGTGAAAAATATGAACTATATAAATTCACCCCGAGACGGGCCAGACCTCTGTGCCGCTAAGAGTTAATTCTTTTCTTTCTAACATAACATCAGCAAATCATTCATAGTATAACAACATTTTTAATATACTATAGGTGATCTCTTTGGTTCATGTACCTCTTGAAAACATGCCCTCAGATGGCCTGAAAGGCCCATAAGTTCTCACTGTTGCTATGGCAACACAGTGTGATCCAGTCATATAGTACTGTGCTGTATTTTAACTAGCTTTCTCTAGGGCTGCCTTACCGTCTTTTTCAGGTATGCTAAATGCCAATTTGTCTTATTTCCAGCAGTGCAATGAAAACAAACGTGTGGACTGCAAATGTCAGAACTGAATTAGACCCTGGTAAAGCGAGATCTAAACAAATATTACAGTAACATGATCTTAAAAACAGTCTGTCCCGTGTGTATATATATATATATATTTTTTTTTAAAAAAGCAGTAGTGCAATTGTGATACTGTTTGCTTAAGCGATATCTGCTGGCGAATAGTGTATAGTTTAAAGTGAGTAGACTTGACTTAGGAGTCTGGTTTCCAGGTTATCAAGGGAACTGAAAGCAATACTGTATCCTCCGATTAAATGATCAATAATGAATCTCTCCGTATTCCATTTTTCCAGGGAAAACAGTGTGATGCTTTTTTCCCTATTTTGACATCCTTAATTGCTGTTTTAATGACTCCAAATTAGACTCATTAATTGTTTTTATTACTGTAAATCATGGTGTCATTAAGATTTGCTGTACATGCTTTTGATGCAATGGTTTTGAGAAAACTGTATTTGCCAAAGGGAAAAATGCAAGAAATGACCACCACAAATAACGTACTGAGACTTCAGCAGTAACATTCCCTCTAGACATTAATATGAGGTTAGGGTAAATTGCAATGTACTGTATCTGGAAAAATAACTTGCATATGATTAACACTCCTCAGGATGTACTTGTTTTACTCACTGGGACATGCATGTGCTTTCCTGGGGTTCTTTGGTCCTTGACTCACCTCCACATTGCATTTTCCTGAGTGTTAATGTAAGTAATAGTTCTGACTCTTTCACTCTGGCAAACCTGATAGCAAACCCAGATGTTTCCTGACTAGCAGGGAAACTCTTTGGGTTACATTCATCCCTGGCTTAACAGCAGCGATGAATGGAGCCCAATGACTCGGATATCAAAGAGTAATTCTCGAATACAGAGCATCAAAAGTGGAGGCTACTGCCTCCAAAGGCTTTGGTAGATATGCTAAGCGCTATTTGTTCAGTTGCTGAAGCCCTTCTTGATACTGTCCACAACTGCACTTCTTGGTCTTGCCTACAGGTATCCAAAAAATATTTATACATCACACAAAGTTATCTGGCTACTTTGGGACCTGATCCAAAGCCCAGTTACAGTCAAAACTCCCGTGGACTTCAACCACCTTTGAAACGGGCCTCGTCTTAGTGGCTTCTATAGCACTCATAACATGATATCTAAGCTCTTCCCAGGCAAAGCAAATCAACATGGTGAGGTCCCAGTGGATTTCTAAGAGTTTCCTGGTCTTCTCTCCATATTGGGAAGGGAGGAACTGTTGGGAAGGGGGGGGAGGATTAAGATACCATTTGTCTCGGTCGTATCTTCATCAATAGTGGAATGTGTTGGCAGGGCTGAGACTGAAGCCTATGACTTTAGAGAATGTTAAGTCAAAATGTGCGGGATGTGTCATCGGTCCAGCCCTTTTTATATTGACCAGTTGGCCCTCTGCTGAGGGAATATTCCAGGGACCTGATTCAAAGCTCACAGAAGTCAATGGGAGGTTTTCCATTGAATTCAGTGGGCTTTGGATCAGAACCAAATTCTCCCCCTTTAGAATGCAGAGGGAAGGTGTGGATGGTAGAAGTTCAGTACATCAGGCTCCTTAAAGAGAGCCAGCCCTGATGGTGGGGCCAGCTCTTCAGGTGGTGTACATTGAGCACAACATCATGGACTTCAGTAGACCTGCACCCATTTACACCAGCTAAGGATCAGTGTTTGCTATCATCCATTTTTGATTGAGTTTAGCATGACAAAACCATTGCCTCTTCCATCAGCATGGAACCTGCTGCTGCTAGAACATGGGAAGATAAATCCTTTCAGCACTATAAATGTAGTTCCCAGATATACCCACAACGCAGATGTAGAGCTGGAAAGCACAGCAAGGAACTTTTTGCCCCGTACTGCTTTATGTGCCCGAAGAGAACGGCTTCATCCCCAAAGAAGGCAACTCTGAGTTGCTGCTTAAGAAAATGGATATCATAGGTAATTTTTCAATAATCCAGTCCTTTTATTTTTCTTCCACTCTAAAAGAAAATCTAAAATATAATGTGAGATGAAGTATCATCTTGTGGTTAAAGCACTGAACTGGGACTCAGGTGATCTGGGTTTGATTGCCGGCTCTGCCA